TTCCTTTTGGAGGCTAAATAATATTCCATCATATGTATCCACTATAATTTTTGTTTATCCACTTATCTGTTGATGGGCTTGGGTTGCTTTCACCTTTTGACTATTATACATGAGGCTTCTATGAACATGAATATACAAATATCTCTTCCAGTCCTTGCTTTCAGTTCTTTTGGGCACATAGCTAGGAGAAGAATTGTGAACTGTGTTATAATTCTGTTTGGTGCTCTTCTTTTTGAGGAGTCACCAAACTGTTATTAACAAGGGTTGCACCATTTTACATTCCCACTAAGATTCCAATTTCTCCACATCCTCACCAACACTTGTCACTTGTTATTTTTATTTATTTATTTATTTATTTTAATGAATGTCATCCTAAAAAATGTGAAGTAGTGTCTCATTGTGGTTTTGATGTTGAGCACCTTTTTATGTGCTTGCTGGACATTTGTATACATTCTTTGGAGAAATGTCTATTCATGTCTTTTGCCCATTTTAAAAATAGTTAACTTTTTTAAAGAAATTGGGTCTTGCTATGTTGTCCTGGCTGGACTAGAACTCCTGGGCCCAAGTGATCCTCCCACCTCATCCTCCTGAGTAGCTGGGACCACAGTTTGGCTTATTTGCCCATTTTTTCAATCCAATTGTTTGGTTTTTGTTGTTGAAATGCAGGATATTAATTCTTTTTTTTTTTTTTTCTTTCTTTTTCTGAGATGGAGTCTTGCTCTGTCGCCCAGGCTGGAGTGCAGTGGGATGATCTTGGCTCACTGCAACCTCCACCTCCCGGTTCAAATGATGCTCCTGCCTCAGTTGCTTGAGTAGCTGGGATTACAGACCTGCGCCATCATGCTCGGGTAATTTTTGTAGTTTTAGTAGAGATGGGGTTTCACCATGTTGGCCAGGCTGGTCTCGAACTCCTGACCTCAGGTGATCTGCCCACCTTGGCCTTACAAAGTGTTGGGATTACAGGTGTGAGCCATCATGTCCAGCCTCCGGATATTAATTCTTTATCAATATAAGATTTACAAATATTTTCTTCCATTCTGTGGGTTGTCTTTTCACTCTGTTGACAGTAGCCTTTGAGGCACAAAAGTTTTTTGTTTTGTTTTGTTTTGTTTTGTTTTGTTTGTTTTTTAAGAGATGAGGTCTCACAATGTTGCCCAGGCTGGTCTCAAACTCCTGGGCTCAAGCAATCCACCTGTCTTGGCCTCCCAAAGTGCTGGGATCACAGGTGTGCACAGAAGTTTTTAATTTTGATAAAATCATATTTATTTTCTCTTTTAGTTGCCTGTGCTTTTAGTATAACATCTGAGAAATCATTGCCAAATCCAAGTCATAAAGCTTTCCCTGATGTTTTCTAAGAGTTTTGTAGTCTTAGCTCTTACCAGTAGGTCTTTGATCAAGTTTGAGTTAATTTTCATAAATGGTGTGAGGTAAGGGTTCAACTTGATTCTTTTACATGTGGATATCCAATTTTTCCAGCACCATTTGTTGAAAACACTGTCCTTTTCCCAGTGACTGCTCCACAAACCCTTGTTGAAAGTCAATCAACCAAATATGCAAGGATTTATTTCTGGGCTCTGTATTCTGTTCCATTGACGTATTTGTGTATCCTTATGGTAGTGCTGCATTGTTTTGCTTTTGTGGTAGCTTTGCAGTATATTTTGAAATCAGGAAATGTGAGAGTTCCAAATTTCTTTCTTTTTCTAGATTATGTTGGCTTTGTGGGACCCCTTGAGATTTTATATGAACTTTAGGATGAGTTTTTTTTATTTTTGCAAAAATCACTATTGGGATTTTTATAGGAATTACACTGAATGGAGATTGCTTTGGCTAGTATTGTTATCCTAATAATATGAACACTTACAAATCTATCAACAAAGGATGTCTTTTCATTTATTTAGTTTTCTTTAATTTCTTGCAGGAATGTTCTGTAATTTTCAGTGTACAAGTCTTTTGCTTCCTTGGTTAAATTTATTCCTAAGTATTTTATATTTTTGATGTTGTTGTAAATGAAATTATTTTATTTTATTTTTTGAATTGCTTATTGTTAGTGTATAGAAATGTAACTGATATTTTGTTTGTTGATTTTGTATCCTAAACATTGCTGTATTTGCTTGTTATTAGTAGCTCTAACAGGGTCTTGCTATGTTGTCCTGGCTGGACTTGAACTCCTGGGCTCAAGTGATCCTCCCACTTGGGGATCTTTTGTATGTGTATCTCTTCTGCACATAAAATCATATCATCTGTGAACAGAAGTGGTTTTACTTCTTCCTTTCCTTTCTTCCTTCTTTTTCTTGCCTAATTGCTCCAGTTAGAGCTTCCAGTACTGTGTTGAACATAAAGCCAAAAATGATAACCCTTGTTTTGTTTCTGATCTTAGGCTAAAAGCTTTCAATCTTTCACCATGGAATATGATACTGGTGGTACATTTTCATATATGAGCTCTACTATGTTGAGAACATTTCTTCTTACTCCTTATTTTTTTGGCATAAAAAAATCATAAATGGGTGTTGAATTTTGTCAAATGCCTTTTCTTCATCAATTCAGATAATCATGTGGGGTTTTTTCTCTTCATTCTATTAATGTGGTATATTTAGTTTCATATGTTGAACCATTCTTACATTCCAGGAATAAACCCCATGGTGTATATTCTTGGTCATGGTGTATATTCTTTTTAATATGTTGCCAAATTTGATTTGCTAGTACTTTGTTAGGCACTTTTATATCAATATTCATGAGGATTATTGGTCTGTCATTTTCCTGTAGTTTTGTTTTCTGGCTTTAGTATCAAAAGTAAAGCTGACTTTATTGAATGTTAGGAAGTGTTTTCTCTTCAATTTTGGGGAAGAATTTGAGAATACTGGTGTTAATTCTTCTTTAAAACTGAGTAGAATTAGCCAGCGAAGCCATCTGCTCCTGGGCCTTTCTTTTTTGTTTTATTTTCTAAAATGCATCACTTTATTTTTCCTTATAAGGCAGTCACACATTAAACAAGTGACAGTCACATGATTTCTGCAGTGAGCCCCAAGGCTTCTGGGGGCTTTCCTGGAGCCTATGGCCAGAAGAGTCCTGAGATTTCAAATATGAAAGCTTTCTTCACAGCCACAAGTTCCTTTGATATTTGGGTTATTGAACACAAACTCACTGGATAATTTGTCGTCAACATAGTCCATTTCTGTTCCTAAAAGTGTTAGCTGTGCTTTCTTTTCAATGAATACTCTGACTCCATCTTGAATAACATCATCAGAATCTCCTTTCATCTTTGTATATTCTAGAGCATAAGAAAGGCCATTACGGCCCCTGGTTCAGACACTGAAGTTTACACCTGCCTGCTCAGGCTTATCTTTAAGAAGCTGTTTTAACTTGTTTACTGCTGAAGGTGTCAGGGGGACGGTGCCCCGGTGGGCTGCAGTTTCCTCTTGCTCACAGCCTGGACAGTTGCCCTGACTAAGGAAGCCGACATTTTCACCGTCTGGTCCTCAGGCCAGAGCTCAGCCACCACAGCCTCTCTCCATGGACACGGCGGGCACATTTCTGGGCTTTCCTTTTTTGGAGGTTTTTGATAAGTGATTCAGTCTCCTTCCTAGTTATAGATATATTCACATTTTCTATGTCTCCATGAGTCAATTGTGATAAATTTTATATTTTATAGGAATTTTAAAATTTCACTACTTTATCCAATTTGTTGGTGTACAATTGTCCATCATATTCTCTTTTAATCCTTTTTATTTCTGTAAAATTGGTGGTAATGTCCCCACTTTTATTTCTGACTTTAGTTATTTGAATCTGCTCTCTTTTTTCCTTAGTGTACATACAGTTTTTTTCAGTTTTGTTGTCTTTTTGAATAATCAACATTTAATTTTGTTAATTTTCTCTATTTTTTTTCCTGTTCTCTGTTTCTTTTAATTTCTGCTCTAATCTTTATTATTTATTTATCTTGTTCCTTCTGTCAGCTTTGGTTTTAGTTTATTCTTTTTACAATTTCTTAAGGCATAAAGTTAGGCTGTGAGTTTGAGATTTTTCTTCTTTTTTAATGTAAGCATTTAAATCTACACGTTTTTTCTTAGCACCATGTTTACTGCATCCAATAAGGGATTTTTAATTATAATTTTTATTTTAGATTCAGGGAGTGTATGTGCAGGTTTGTTACAAGGGTATTTGTGTGTTGCTGAGAGTTGGACTTCTATTGATTTCGTTATCCAGATAATAAACACAGCACCCAATTTTTTCAGCCCTTCCCCCTCTCTCCTTCCCTCCTTTGAGTCCCTGGTGTCTGTTTTTTCCATCTTTATGCCCACAGGATTGGTATACAGACAAGTGGGTTTGCAAATCCTAGATCCTTTGTGTGTGATGGAAGGATCTGGAAATTCCAGTTGGGGTGTTCTACTGTTAGAAATTTATCAAGGTAGGACTATGTCTAAACATTTATCTCTGGAAACAGGCCAGCAAACAGAAATACCATGTGTGAATTTCTTGTTTGTTCCTTAGCTCAGGATTATTGGTGGTTCCATCCTTACTCCACAGTACACCCCTTCCATCATTTTTTCTTTCTTAATTTTTTTGAGGCAGAGTCTCGCACTGTCTCCCAGGCTGTAGTGCAGTGGCGCCGTCTCAGCTCACTGCAATCTCCGCCTCCTGTGTTCAAGCAATTCTCCTGCCTCAGCCTCCCAAGTAGTTAGGACTACAGGCGTGCACCACCATGCCCAGCTAATTTTTTTGTATTTTTAGTAGAGACAGGTTTTCACCATATTGGCCAGGATGGTCTCCGTCTCCTGACCTCATTATCTGCTTGCCTCAGCCTCCCAAAGTGCTGGGATTGCAGGCGTGAGCCATCGTACGCAAACCCATCATTTTTTCATACACATTTAAGTAGAGAATTAGTCAAAACTGATTTAAAAGTTATGACTCGGAGCACAGGGCCAGCTACCTGGGCGTGGGACAGAGGGTCCTATACTTGGTTTAATGCTTGGCTATTGCTGTCTTGAAATTCTTAGTTTTTGGACAAGTGCCTATATTTTCATCTACCACTGGGCTTTGCAAGTTATGAGGCTGGTCGGGTTGGGATATATGACTTCCAGTTTCAGCTCAAACCTGTGACTTTGGCCAAACTTTACTCTTTCTGAGACTCTGCCCCACAAGGGCAGTGGCTGCAGTAGTTACTTACCTCTAAATTCTCAGCCCTTACCATGGTGCCTGACACATGTAAGTGCTCAATAAATACTTGTAGAATAAATGAATTGATGTCAAAGAAAACTTGCTGCTTAAAATTTGAGAAAGGATGCTGAATTACACAAGTACATATAAAGACAAACATATTGAATGGCCGTTATGAGATTAAGATGATGACAGTATCACAGCATCTATTTCCTGATGGCTACTCTGGTAATTTATTAAACAGTGGATGCGGAGTAAAGAAAACAGCCTTCAGTAGATATACCTGGGACCGATGCCAGACAGCTCATTGGATCTTATAAATTCTTCATCGTTACATAAGCGTTCATGGAAAAAGGCTTCTCAAGCCATAAAGAAAGCTGCAATGAAAGCTCTGGATATTGCATTTCAGGCCAAGGTCTAGTTCAAATGCAGTCTGGGAAAAGTCCCATTTGGAAAAGCTGTCTGCTTGCAGAATTTTATTCCCCATTAGTATTTTGGTATTACTCAAAACACAGGCAGAACTGAAAGCTGGGCCTGGAAAGCAAGAGAACGTCTCCTAAGGATGCCTCCGGGCGAAAGTGTGGGTTTGGACCGGACAAAAATGAAACATCGGCTCCAGCAAATCTGGGAGGCATTTGGTAAATGGCTGAATTGAACCCTGCCTCAAGACTTCTTCAATATTTTTTCTGCCTCCTTTCCTGCCTCAGGGTGTGTCTCAGAGATGGAATTCAGGGTGAGCTTTACCCCTCAGCTGCTGGGGGATGTAGGCACAACCCCATCTGAGGTGTAAGCATGGAGCTATGGTTAAAGCATCCAAGCTTTTCCGATTCAGGGCCACACTTAGAAGGTGAGGCCAGAGATCACAGTAGCTACTATTTCTCACTTACCATGTGTCACAGGTGCTTCATGTGTATCACGTTTACTTCTCAAGAAACCCTAAAGTAACTATTACTACACCCGTTTTAAAAGTGTGGAAAATGAGGCTCAGATAGGTTAAGTCATTTGACTTAGTTGATGCATTTATTAGTGGTAGATCCAGGATTTGAATCCAAAGTGCTCAGGGTCTAGAGTAAGTGCTCATTCTTACTACTACTTGTCTCTTTGATTTTGGGTTTGGCCATGGCTTGCCAATGGGATGTGGGTGGGCACAATGTGGACACTGGCTCTAAAAGTGCTTGCCTTGAGACCATGAGTAACCGCTACCCCTCAGGCTCAGCCCCAACTGGGAGATGTAACAGACTGGAGTCAGCTGTGGAGCCTGGAGAATCTCTGCGCTGTGGGGTCATTTGTTACACAACAGCATTGCAGCAATAGCTGATTAACACAGCTTGGTTTTTCACTGGCAAAAGACAATCAAGATGATATAAGTATCAACTTAATAAATGTTTATTGATTACTCTGTGCCAAGCCTGGGCTTGGTTCTGGGGAACACAATAATCAGTGAGTCAGACACATGCTTCCCCAGTCTCGTTTGCTGAGTTATCCGTCTCTACCCGATTTTTAAATGTTACTGTGAAGGCTCCATTCTAGACCTTCTTCTGCCTCTATATTCTTCCTTAAGTAATCTCATCCATCTGTGTCCATGACTTCAATTCCAACCATGTCTGTAGCTCGCTCTTCCTTTCTGAGCTCTAGATCGGCATAGCTAATCCAGTTTTAACTGTCTGCTGTCCGTTGCCACTGGGCATCTCTAGCCCCTTTCAAGCTCAACAATTCCCAAACTAAACTCATGCTCTTCCTCCCTCTCATTTGAGGCATCTCCTGTTGGAAGTCCACAGAGGAAGTCCTGTCCCCATTATCTGCAGTCAGAGTAACTCATGTTTGTCTTTGGTAGGGCTTGCCAAGGTTGTAATTAAATGCAACTGCTTAGGTAGTTAGTTGCTTGTCTCTCTCGTGAGAATGTAAACTCCTCCAGAGAATCCACAGATCTGCATGTGATTGTGAACGCTCACCTATGGAATAAGGTCCAAACTCTCACAGCTTTCAAAGCTCACTGAGGGCTGGTCCCAATTTACCATCAGGACTTCATTTCTCTGCTCAGGCAACTAACGCCCTTTACCTACTATTGCTCTTTCGCTGGATAGGGAAAGACACGCATGTGTAGGAGGAACATGACCTATCACTGAAAATGCACCAAGAAGCTGGTGTCCTTGGCCTTGCCTGCTGGCTCTGAGAAGCTGCCCATTCTGAGTCCCTTCTTTAGGAACGGAGTACTTCGGTGCTCCTCTTTACCACACTGTCTCCCATTTTCCCCAGCCCTTTCTCCTCTGGCCTGTTCCTCCCACTTTCCAAACTATCCCTGTGCAACAAAGAAAGAGAAAAAGGAAATGAAGCAATTGAAGTGGAATTGAATCCTGGAAATCTGCAATTGCAGAAGGAAAGGTGGGGCTGTGTGCTCCAACCCCCTTCTGTCAGAGTTCATGGTGATCCCCTGAGGCTGGTTTTTTACCTTTTATCTTTTCAAAATTTTAATGCACTGCAGATTCTAACCTTCTTATCCACTCCTGGAAATCCCCCCATTTTATTTTCCCAATGGGCCCATTTAAATCTTGGCTTTGCCATTATTAGCAATGTTTGAATCTGAACAGCTTTAAGGTAAAGTGATCCCTGGAATGGTTCAAGTTAACATTTTCTTTTGTTTCAAAATTTCTTGCTTATTTTTTCCGGTTCGGACCCTGTTCCAAACCCCACATTTCAGATAGCACATCTGAGCTGCAGCCTCAGAACAGTGAGCTCATGTGCAGTGTTTGTCTTGGCTCAGCCTGCCTGACCTGGGCAGCGACTTGGCGTGTATGTAGGGGAGAGGGAGAGTGAGGGGTTGGGAGTGCTGCGGGCAGTAGATTAGAGCCATAATGACAGCCTAGTCCTAAACCCTTGTTAGGCACAAGGCCGGCCAGCCTCTGGGGGCTCCAGGACCTCCTTCAGGGAAGCCCAGCAACACCTTGCTGGTCCCTTTGGCCCTGATTTGCACCTCTGTGGTTTTTGATATAGGCTTATGTTCTTTTTTCTTTTTTAGAGACAAGGTCTCACTGACACCCAGGCTGCAGTGCAGTGGCATAATCATAGTTCACTGTGGCCTTGAACTCCTGAGCCCAAGCAACCCTCCCATTTCGGCCTCCCAAGTAGCTAGTCCTACAGGCCCGCACCACCAAGCCTGGCTCATTTTTATTTTTTGTAGAGACTGGGACAGGGTCTCACTGTTGTGCCCAGGCTGTCTTGAACTCCTGGCCTCAAGTGATCCTTCTGCTTCAGCCCCCGCAAAGCACTGGGATTACAGGCATGAACCACTGCACCCAGCCCTGGCATACGTTCCTCTTCTGCTCAACCAGGACAATGGCGGTAGGTAGTTGGTGACAGTCTGAGCAGATGGGGAGGCAGACGAAGAATCTGATGCATCCTGAAGGTCTCGCTGCACAGGTGTCGTGGCTGTACCCAGGGTCCAGCCCAGGCCTTTGCTCACAGCCCATTTAGCGCCTGCCAAGTACAAGTCTCCCAGATGTATAATAGGACCTATCACTAGCTGTCCTTTTCTGTGGAATCTGCCTTCCCACCCCTGTTTGAGTGTTCGTTGACATCCATACACCAATCTAGAGGCCTCTGCTGCTGTGGCCAAGGAATGCCCAGAGCCCCATGAAGGCCCTTCTTGCCCCTTCCCACTAAAACCTCTGCCAGTCCCACAGTAGCAGGGGCCTCATTAGCCAATCTCAGAGTGAAGCAGCTTTATTGTCTAGGGAAATACCTGAGGTTCGTCTCCTCCAGCCGACCAGATCCACAAAAGGGACACACACACACAGAGTGGATTTAAGGAGCGGAAAGTTTAATAGACAAAAAAAGAAAAGAGAGAGACAGCTTCCTCATGCAGAGGAAGGGGGTGTCCAAGAGGGTTTCTGGGTTTGCCGGATGCAGTTGATTATATAGAGGGGCTTGAGGAGGCGGTGTTTGATTTACATAGAGCCCAGGGGATTGGTGTGACCAGGTGCGCATCTACATAGTTGTGAAGAAACCGGCCCTACCACCTTAATCTTTTATTATGCAAATGTGGTCTCAACCTGGTGGTGCCATGACACCTGCACACGTGGCCACTAGGAAAGGGAGGGGAAGTCACCACGTTGGGATGTACCTGGCTTCCAGGTGCAGGTGCTGGCATTTACACACGCAAGCTTCCAGCCTGCTTATCTGCTCTTGCAGCGTGGCTTTTCAGGCTGCTTTCTGTTAAAAGGAAATTCCACCAAGAACTCTTTTACCCTTGCTAACAGCCTAAAATAATTTCTTAATAACGCCTATATCATTCATGCTGGCTCCACAGACTCAGGGTCTCAGGACACAAAGAACTTGGGAGCCCATGGTGCCCAAGCCTCTAGATTCCAGGTCCCGAGGGCAGTTGAGGACAACTGCACTTGGGCTGGAAATGTAATGCCATTCCTACAGCAGTTTGAAATTTGTGGGCTGGCGTGGAAAGCCATCGCATGGGCCCTCTCACATAGCACTCAATCAAGCCTAACAGTCCTCATGATAACCTTTTTCTACATTTGTATCTTTCAAAGACCTTCCATGGAACTCTTTGGAAATACTAAAATACTAAAATAGAGATCATTGTAAGGGGCACTGCACTTCAGTCTGGGCAACATAGCAAGATCCTATCTCAAAAAAAAAAAAAAAAATAGAGGTCTTAGAATCTCAGGGCAGAGTTCCAACTGGCTCTGTCACAGCACAGTGTGACCACATCATGCACAACTGCTCTGGGTCCTGCTTTTAAGATGCATACAATGAGTGGCTTGCCTAGAGTTGCTGGTTTTCTAATAAACCCTGACCATACCGTGATGCCTGGGGCGGAGGAAGGGAGGGAGAGCTCTGTGTCCTCCTTCCATCTCCTACAGAAGAATCTGTCTTAATCAGGCCTCCCCATAAGCTTTTGTGGGGGGGAGGGGGAGGGAAATAGTTTTGCCCTTAGAAAGTAAAGCCCAAAAGCCAGAGGACTAGGAGAGAACCAAGATCTTCCCAGCGCTAACATTCTGGAACTGGGCTTGGCCACAGCCTGGCATATGACAAGCACCTCAGCCTGGCATATGACAAGCTGGCATTGCATGCTCCTCAAAGATGTTACTTAGGAAAAAGCTGACTCATTCATAGGAGTTAAATGGATTCTTCTAAGGGAAGACAACACCAGGAGCTAACTCATCAGTGAGCAGGCTGAATAACACTGATTGTCAAAGGAGCACGTCTACTGGTCGCAAAGTGCCATATGGCTGATTACATCTAATAAAATGAGCTCATGTTGAATCGACAATCTAGATGTGCCTCTGTTGTCCCCAAAAAGGTAGCTGAAAATGATTGCGGGTTGCAAGTCTTTGGTGACTGCACCATGGATACGGTAATTTAAGTCAGCTGTCACAGAGCTTGTGCCAGATGTGGCCCAGCAGAGACTTTTGTGTTGACAGGGCGTGTTTCTTGGTGTGGCTCACTGCAGGTGATGGGGTCAGGCCCAGCTGAGGAGTCCACGTGGACTCCCCGCAGGGGCAGTGCAGAGCTGCCCACACATCTGTAAGTCTTCATTGGTTCCTTCTGTTTCCACGCCTGCCGGTCTCCTCCCACCAGATACAGTGCCAGGTGGGGATGCAACTGAGGACAGTGGAGGGGGGGGGCTGCAGCGGCAAAGCCCCCTGACACAGTCTGCTTTGTGACTTGTGGCTGGAGGACTCCACCTAGGACCTTCCTTCCGAGCTGAGCCTCAGCCTGGGCCCCAGCCTGGGCCCCAGTCGCCCCCAGTCCTGGTGAGAGTACAGAGCTGGTGCTCAGGGTGGTAGCCGCAAGCCCCGGGTGGTTACTGAGCATCTAAATGTGGCAGTGAAAACTGACACTGGATTTCAAACCCTCCGTACCAGATAAAAGAATACAAAAACCTTACAAATTTTATACTGATTACAAATTTATACTGTTGAAATGATAATGCTTTTGATATGTAAAGTACATCGCTAAAGTTAATTTAACTGTTTCTTTTTACTTTGTTTCAATTAGCCACTAGAAAATGTAAGATGACGCGTGTGGCTCACATGATAATTCTGTTGGACGCCACTGATGTAGAAAGAATTCGATTTGTAAAGGGGCCCAGATGGACCATTTCAGGGGATTCGGCAAGTGTTTGCCGAGCACCTTCTGTGTGCAGCTCATCTGCCGGACAGATGGCTGTCTGAGCTGCTGGGGGAGACGGGAGATGGAGTCAGAGCAGGGAGTTGCCCCGCTGGGGGAGCATGGGGAGCAGCACCCATCCCTGACGTGAACCACGGACATCTTCCTCAGGCAGCACTTCGAGTGTCTGGGCCCTGCACAGCCCTAAATCCTCCCAATACCGCTAAGGTTACAAGTAATTATCTAAGGCCTGTGTTATTCCTGTGCACCAAGCACCGCCCTCAGCATCTCATGGGAAAAGAGAGTCTTATCTCCAAGATGCACTTTGAAGTTTAAAAAGAAAAGGTGGGGATGACCAGTGCAGTGCTGGTTGGCCTCAGCCCAAGAGGGCGGCTTGAGAGAGTTTTCTTCTCTTTCTTCCCTTCCTCCCTCCCTCCCTTCCTCCCTCCCTTCCTCCCTCCCTCCCTTCCTTCCTATCTTCCTTCTCCCTCCCCTTTCTTCCTTCCATTCTCCTCTCCTCTCTTTCCTCCTCTCCTCTTCTCTCCTCTCATCTCCTCCCTTCCTTCCCTCCTTCCTTCCTTCCCTCCTTCCCTCCCTACCCCCCTCCCTCTCTCCCTGCCCCCCTCCCTTTGATGCTTGAAATTAAGCCCAGGAAGAAAGCAGAGTTCCTAGGAACATGAAAGCTGAAGATAAACCCCAAAGCCTCCTTTGTCTTCCCTTAATCTGCTTTAAGCTCCCACCAGCTCAAGCCTAATTGAGTTAGTTCTTGAGTGAAAGGGAGCTTTGGTGATGTTAAACTGTTATTTAATCACAAGTGGCAGGTGGGATGTGGGGCAGAGCCAGGAGAAGAGGGTTTGTGGGAATTTAGAGCTAAGCAAAGCCTTCCTTCCTCCCCTCGCCTCGGGGAAGGCCTGCAACGCCCTTTCATTAGTATTTCAGCCAGTGTTTTTCAAACGGGCTGACTGTAAACCGTTAGGGGATTGGGAAATCAGTTTAGTGGATTTCAGTGAGAATTGTTGAAATGTGGGGGTGGTGTGGCCTGGGAAGAGTAGAAGAGAGAGTAACAGAAGGCTTTGCATGTAGTGAAAGGAAGTATTGCTTCCTGAAACATTTGACTTAGATGTGAGTGTGTGTGTGCACGTGCGCGTGCATGTGTACACTTAACTGCAGTAGAAAATGCACTTTTTACTATGGGTCACGAGCAAAAAAGTTTGATACCTTCTCTCTGATCTTCCTAGAAATAGAGTCCCTGCTGTGCATGGATCAGAAGAAATGATAAGCTACAGGGGAGGTGGAAACAGGAATCCTTGGCCCTGTGATAGAAAAGGCGGCGGGGTGCTGGGAGGTAGCAGAAGCAGCAGGCCCTGAGTGCCCGGCCTGGGCAGCCTGTTAGACTTGATGACCCATGGTCTGTTTGCTGCCGCACCTGTAGCAGGGAGCAGAGGCCAGGGCCCAGGGGACACCTGGCTGCACATTCTGAAAAGCAAGTTAGTGGACGAGGGAACGAAAGGCCTCTTTGAGGGGCTTTGTGACACATGTATTCATGTGGGATCCGGGGAGGAAGAACGACAATGGAGAGCGTGTTCTGGAAGTCTCACCTGGGTAGACTGTCTGGCGGGGTTTGCAGAGGCTCAGCGTTGCAGAAGGTAACCTTTCTATTTCCATTTTTAAAGGACCCATCTTGGCCGGGCGTGGTGGCTCACACCTGTAATCCCAGCACTTTGGGAGGCCAAGGTGGGTGGATCACGAGGTCAGGAGTTGGAGACCAGCCTGGCAAACGTGATGAAACCCCATTTCTACTAAAAATACAAAAAACTAGCCAGGTGTGGTGGCACGCGCCTGTAATCCCAGCTACTAGGGAAGCTGAAGCATGAGAATCGCTCGAACCCAGGAGGTGGAGGTTGCAGTGAGCTGAGATTGAGCCATTTCACTCCAGCCTGGAGACAGAGTAAGACTCCGTCTCAAGGAAAAAGAAAAAAAGAACTCATCTTATTCTTTTGTCTTTCCTCTTTTATGGGTATAATAGTCAAAGTTTATTATGATGAGCATTGGGATTCATACTAACGCATTTATTCTATCGCTAAAACAATTTTGTTCACTGAACTTTTTCTTTTGGTTTCCCTTAAATAATATCACTATTAAACCCAAAAAATCAGAAAGTGAGCTATTT